CTCTCTGTGTCTCTCACTCATGGAATAAATAAACTTTAAAAAAAAATGTATTTGGGGGCCAGCAGGAGGCATGGTGGTTGAGGTGCTGGACTCACATGTAGTCGACCATGGTTCAAGTCCCAGACCCAGCAGCTGAAAACTCATGCCAGGTATGTGTGCATGTGTGTCCAAAACCCCAAGAGCAGAATGGAGGAGAAGGGTGTGGCCATCCCTCCTGGGAGGTGATTTCTCACTTTCTGTCTCTCTGTCTCTCAGGTGAGTGTAGATCCCCTACAGCAAAAAATCTCTCTTTCAAAAGATGTCTATATATACTCAGTGCTACTCTATCAGCTATCCTACAAGTCTTACTCAGATTTTGCTGATTTCCCCAGTAAAGTTTCTTGTCAGATCAGCAATCCGTGCAGGATCCCACGTTGCATTTAGCTGTCATTACTCCCTCGTCTCCTCTGATCTGGGGCAGTTCTTCAGTCTTTGACTGCTAGACAGTTATTTCGTACAGTGTCCTTCCGTTAGGACTTATCCATGTTTATTTTTAATTCATAAGCAATCTCTACTCGTTGTTGAAAAGCAAGACAATACTGAGGTAAGCGTACTGCAGGTGTATGTCCCTGTCCATGTATATGCACACGTGTGCATTTAACCGTCATTCTGCACATGCTGTTCTGCACCTGCCTGTCCCTTAAATGAGCATTCGCAGCCTGGAATCTAGAATGGGGTGTGCCTCATGTCCAGGGAGGGATGGGAGGTAAACAGGAAAGGAGAGGGAAGGGTCAGGTGGGAGGGCGGTTCTGATCCCACAGAGCACACTGGCTGGAAAAGCGAGTGTGGAACCAGCGTCACAGTGTCCCCTGTTTGTGGCCCGAGTCACCTGGGGCTGACCTCAGAAGACCAGACCTTGGGGGCCAGCAGATTCTGTGTTGGAACCTAAGGCATCTCAGACAGGCATTTGTTTTTCTGAGGCCATGAATCCAAAGAGTGGATTTTGCAGCTGGGAGCTGGGCCAGGCAAGAGGGGCAGAGGAGGCAAAATCCAGTAATGGGTCCGGCAGCGCCTAGCACAGGACAGACTTCATAGCATCTGTGGCCACGCTTCCCTGCACCTGCCGTGAATGCCAGCCCTGTGCTAAGGGCCCTACTAGGGTGGGATCTCTCCTTTTCTCCTTCTGAGTGTCTCTCAGACACGGAATACAGAAACTTTAAAAAATATATTTGCATCTTACATTCCCGTCAGCAATGTTTAAGACTTTCGAGGCTTTAGTATTAAAATTCATGGTTTATTCAGGTTATTGTTGAGTTCAGATTTCTCATTTGAAAACAATATTAATTTCAAGATATAATCTCCAAAGGTGAGGACCTTTGAATGGAGAATTTTAGGTTGGGAAGAGACCTCCATGTGAACAAAGGACCAAGATTACCAGGAAAGCAGAAGCAGATGAGGGCCCCAGTGAGGCTGGCCTCCCACGCCCCCTGCCGCCCTACTGACCAGTGGCCACCTCTGGATCATCTTTTCTGCTTTTTGATGGTGGCCACAATGGCGCATATTC